CACACACACACACACACACATGCACATACACACACAAACACTCACACACACACACTCACACACACTCACACACACACACGCACGCATGTGCGTGGAACTTTTTTGCTCATGTGTGCTTTAAGGCAGCCTCATTCTTAGCTATGTCAACAATCCCTGGAAGAAGGTTAAAATAATTTTATTCTACCATAGTGGCCATAAAATCTTATGTAGAAATAAGAGTTTATTGAAGAACTTCTATGATGAAAATCTCATTTATTCACCATATCCAGGTTCTGGAACCATGATTCCAATTTTCTTCCTGGCCACACTCTGCTTGGGAGTGGTCCCAGCTGCCCCAACCCATGATCCCAGTTTGGATGATGAATGGCAAGAATGGAAGACAAGACATGGGAAAACATACAGCATGGTTGGTGCCATAAACACTACCCAGAGGCAACACAGAGACAATGATCCTTGCTGAGTCAAGTTTATAAGGGAGTTTACACAGTGAAGGCCAGTTCCTTGGCAGCATGAGCAAGTGGCATGCTTTATGAGCACTGATGGCAAACCACCCTATCGACAAGGGGTCTGGATCGTGGCTTCCAAAGGTGTACAGTTTCTCTTGGTTCTCACCATCTGTAGCAGCAGGTCCACTAAGGGAGCGAGGGTTGGGCTTAATGTAGTAGAATGACCACACACTGGATTTATTCCAGGATGAAGAAGGACAGAAGAGAGCAGTGTGGGAGAACAACAGGAAAATGATCGAGCTGCATAATGAGGACTACACTAAGGGGAAGCATGGCTTCCACTTGGAGATGAACGCCTTTGGTGACTTGGTGAGTGTGACATGGATTACAGAACGTGATTTCTTCTCTTCAGTTCTTTGTGAGTCATCTCTCCCTTTGCAATGATTTGTTTACTTTTTCTTGAAGACCAATATAGAATTCAGGCAATTGATGACTGGCTTTCAAAGCATGGGAACCAAGGAGATGAACGTATTCCAGGAGCCTCTGCTGGGTGATGTCCCCAAGTCTGTGGATTGGAGAAATCTTAGCTATGTGACTCCTGTGAAAGACCAGGTAGGACTTGTCACATTCTTGGTATCACTGTCCATGGGCAAATCGAGAAAGAAATGCCATCCTTGTCTTACTGACTATAGGGCTGCATGAAGCTCACTGAATGTGGAATTACTGTGTCATGTGAATTGCCATCAAGCATCTGTATTAATTTTGTAGGTGGCAGCTTTTTCTTTTTTTTTCTAGGGTCAATGTAGCTCTTGTTGGGCATTTAGTGCCGTTGGTTCCCTAGAAGGACAGATTTTCCGGAAAACTGGCCAACTGATTTCTCTGAGTGAACAGAACCTAGTGGACTGCTCCTGGTCATATGGCAACATTGGCTGTTTTGGTGGCTTGATGGAGTATGCCTTCCGGTATGTGAAGGAAAACAGAGGCCTAGACACAAGGGTGTCCTATCCTTATGAAGCACGGGTAAGTAGGAATCCTACCTTGTCATTCCAGCAGGTCTTAAGGAGCAGAACAATCATGCAGACAATACTCTGTCCTAAGAACTCGTCTTTCCATGATAGGATCCATCCTATTAAATCCTCAGTGCTTCCATTAAAGTGTCAGCCTTTGCATACTGGTCTGATTCCATGGCTTCCATGTAGCTGCCCTTGCTTCTGTTCACATGGAGTATATGCAAACCATTCCACAAATAGGGTATACTTCTATAGGAATATGTATGGCGTGTCATTGAAGACATGTGGTGTCACTGAAGTCATGCAGGCTAGTTTATGCCAGCCACTGACATCTACCAGTGCTGTAATGTTTCATGAGTGTATAGACTTGCAGATCCTCAGCTGCAAGTGCTGAGTCACCTGTGTGGATGACAACTCAGCTGAGTGTCGTTCTGACTCATGGTCCCCCAGGAGGTGGATAGCAATAATCATGGATGTTTTTTATTTTTGTTTTTTTGTTTTTTTGTTTTTACCATTGTCTCTCAAAGAATGGGCCCTGCAGATATGATCCTAAGAACTCTGCAGCTAATGTCACAGACTTTGTGAAAATCCCAATTAGTGAGGATGCCCTTATGAAGGCTGTGGCCACTGTGGGGCCCATCTCTGTTGGAGTTGATAGTCATCACCATTCCTTCAGGTTCTACAAGGGTGGTAAGTGTGCCTCCTTCCAGTAGTCGGGGAAATGTGCCTCCACCACAGCCTGTGAATTTGATGACTTTTGGGTATATGAAATCTGATGTAAATATTTTGAGTTGTAGATGTTATTCAGTAGAAGAAATATTTGAGTTGTTTCTACTTGACATTAATGAAACACAACACAATGAGCATGTGCCCTGTTTTTCTATTAGCAAAATCAGGTTTTATGTGGCTCAGTTTCATTGAATTTTTTGTAGTTGCTGAATCTTTAAGATTTTGAGTAGATATTCTGTTTCTGTAGTCCAGCCTCAGGGGTCCTTCTTGATCCCTGTATTTTGTATTTTGTTTAGTTTCCTTGGACAGATACACTTTGTAAGCAGATCAAGCTTTCTTACAACCATTCAAACAAGTATTTTCCCTAAGGATTTATGCTAACCTTTGTTTCTGTTATATTACATAAGTGCTTATGTCCCATGCCTTGCTAACACAAAATCATTCCTGTCTGTATGTCATTGCACCAAAATTAGAAATGTTTCCATTACTTCGGGTGACAGAAGTCACTGTGGGGTCACTGGAGCCTCTTATTCAGCTTTGATTTTATCTGCCAGGCATGTATTATGAGCCACACTGTAGCAGCAGTAATCTGGATCATGCCGTCCTGGTGGTTGGCTATGGTGAGGAATCAGATGGCAATAAATACTGGATGGTCAAGAACAGGTAAAAATAGCCAAAACATTTATGTTTGAAACATTAAAGGAAAGTACTGTCTGCAGGCAGTATTTGGGTGCAGGTTTCAGCAATTTACCCCACATAATTTGAATACAGAAGTTTTATGGTCATTAAAATGATAAGTTTGTCATGGTTTGGAGAGTGTGAAGATGAAATTGGAACCACTGCATTTCTAGTTCTGAGCAAATGTGGGTGAGGAGATGCCCTGTCCTTTCTCTGCTGAGATTCACAGTGGTATATAATGCAATAGTTGGTACCCAAGAGATGACCCTCTGCCTTCTCTCATCCTGTCTGTCAAGTGTGACCTCTGACTCTGGGTTTCTATTTGGAGTTAATGTAGTGAAGCTTCTGTGTTGTGTTCTTTCTACTGAATGGTGAATATGCTCTTCTTTCAGCTGGGGCCAAGGTTGGGGCATGAATGGCTACATAAAGATGGCCAGAGACCGGAACAACAACTGTGGAATTGCTACATATGCCATTTACCCTACTGTGTGAGCTTCTGGACAGCAACAAGGAAGAAGTGGGAACAGCATGCTCTGAGCAGATCTCCCCCCTTCACAGACCAGTCTCTGCTGTGGGGGTAATGACAGCTGAGTCACTGAGGATCCACACTTGATGTGACTTTTGGGACATTTCCTCTAGTTAAATGTGACTGCCACTCTGCTGCTATAATCAGCTTTGTATCAATAAGTTCTGATTTTTCATTTTTCATAAGTTGTACATAATTTTTATTAAAACCTATGTGTAAAAGACTGATGGTGCTTCCTCCTGTCTTTGTTATGGTGGCTTCTCTCAGTCACGCGTGCAATTCAGTGTGGAGACACAGTGGAGGTGGCAGTGGTGTTCACAGGAAAGGATGGGTGACTCTGTCACCAGGTCAATATTCCAGCCATGATCAGAGTTCCTTCCAGACTTTTATGTACTCATCATCAACCAGGGTGCAATGAATAATGAAAAATCTATTCTTGAAATTTGGTTATTTTTAATCCACACAAATTTTGAAAGTTTAAATTATTTGCCATTTTGTGTAGTGAGATGGTACTATGGGCCTGAGACTCCATCCCCCTTTTTGTACACATCTGAACAAAGTCATTATTTCCCTTCATTCAGTAATTTCTGTCTACACTTTTTATTGCTTGAAAAATTTTTACCATATATATTTCTTTGAATCTCGAAGCAGGAGAAATGTTGGGCCTGAAGGGGAAGACACTACTATTTTGAAGAGGTCATTTGTCTCCTGCCTAAGAGAGGGAAATGGAATGTCAAACAAGATATACAATGTGGTATCGTCTTACAAACAGCACAAGAGTGTCTCTCTGTATATATGATCCCTTTCCAAATGCATGCATACCTGGAGACGCATTAGCTAATTACATTAATTCTCGGGGACGGGGTTGGAAGAAGCTGGCAGTGGACTGGGCTGGTGACTGAGATGGAAGCAGGTTTTCCTGCTGCTGCGTTGACCTCTGAAAGTGTTAAACTAGATGGCTTTGTTTATTATTTGTTTTGTTACTGCAGGGATTTTCACTAGGACGCTTCAAATAATAATGTAATTTTGAAAGCTAGCATTTCCAACCCAGCCCCCACTCCCTCCCAAGGCCAACATCACTGTTAACAGTTTGCCATACATTCTTCTTTGTTTTCTTTTTCCTTTTTTCTTTTTTTTCCCTGTGTAACAGCTTTGGCTGTCCTGGAACTCACTCTGTAGACCAGGCTGGTCTCAAATTCACAGAGATCCACCTGCATCTGCCTCCCGAGTGCCGGGATTAAAGGTGTGCACCACCACCACCCAGACTTCCTTGTTTTTTTTAATGAATTAACACACAACTATTTACTGGCTTCATTGATGGAGCCTTCAAATTGTATTTGGCCTTTAATGATATTACGTGATGCAGGTTGTTCTAGGATTTCACTTCTGTACTCAGTGTTGAGTGCTGAACCCCTTCCATGTCTCTAAACATACAACAACATTTAATGTTCTCTGGTAAATATTTAATATTAATTTTTACATCTTTAAATATGAGAGATATGGAATACCGATACTTATGAGTGTACTTCTAAAAGAGGACGGTGAGTTTCCAGGTACAACAGTATGTATATTCAAAAACCAGTTACCATTCCTCGGTTAATGTCCACCCTGAACAACCCACCCCACTCTTAGGAGCAAACAAAAGGCCTTGCTCCTCCACAGACACCAATCCTTAACTGTTTGGTCACAGCAAGTGGCTGAAAATAAGATCTTCCCTAACTTTCCTCTATGATTAACGGAGGGTTTGAGGATCATGCCCTGGGCTTTATCCCCTGCTGCTCCTCGTGGTGCTAGAGCAGGACTTTGAGGAGGATCAAAGGAACGGTGGCCCTCACAGAAAAGGAACATCAGTGAGACATCCATATCCTCAGAAATATTCTATCTCGAAGGTTGAGGAAGGCCCTGCGGGAACAGCAGCAGGACTTTCAGAGAACATGGAGGACTTGGGTACCCAAAGAGTACTGGTTCTCAACCTTTGTGTCACAACCCCCTTTGGAGTCACATATAAGATCTCCTTCATATCAGATATTTATATTACGATTCATAACAGTAGCAAAATTACAGTTATGAAGTGGCAAAAAAAATAATTTTGTGGTTGGGAGTTCACGACAACATGAAGAAGTGTATTGAAGGGTTGTAGCAATAGGAAGGTTGAGAACCACTGTGTTAAAGCCCCACCCATTCCACCTAGCCCTAAAAGAGAGGAGAAAATCATGGTGATTCCACCAGGGAGGAGTGTCAGGATATACTGGGGTCTTCAGTGTCACTGTTCTGAGTAAAATGCCATTTTGAAGGTCAGAATAGTCAAATGTCAAGTTCCACACAGGTAACACAAAGCTACCTCTAAACACACCTGTGCCACGACTGACTTTAGAATGTCCACTCTAGACACAGACATGGGTACTGTATCTTCGACGTGTGAACTCATCAGTCCATTCCTTTGTTTTTAGTCTCAGGCTCCAGCTTCTGCTCTAGCTTTCTACCTGATTGCTAGTTGCTGAGATTTTGGTGGCATCTGAAGCCAACAAAGCAGCTGTGTCTGTCACAGGCATGGTCATAGGTTTACAGGGACTTGGCTCAGAGAACCCTTTGGGGATCTGGAGACAGTGGCTGAGCACTGACAGGCAGAACACTGTGCTGTCTGAGTGTGAAACTTTATCTTCATGGTGAAGTTATATGCATAAGCACTGGACTTCAGCTTTGTCAGTAATGGGATTTATCTGTGTTCAGGGACCATTTTCAGTATCTTTATCCTGTCTGGCACACACCAGTGTCTGCAGAGCACTTAACACAGGAAATATGCTCAACTTAGAGCCTGAAACACACACACACACACACACACACACACACACACACACACACACACACACACACACACACACCACACACACACACACACACACAAAGTCTCTGATAAACTGTTGGGACTGTGCACATGAACATGAGACAGAGACATGCACAACTGCGGGTCCAAGGCTATTACGTGAGCTGCACAGGCAGAATAAAGCCATTGTCACTCAGCATGGAGCTGTGCAATGTCTAGTCACATTGCTAAGAGAGTGGAGCAGATGGTGTTCCCACATGAGAGATGCTTTGAAAAGCTCCCAGGCTCCTTGAGGGCCCCAGAAACAGACTCTAAAGGTTTAGAGGGGGACTTTGTGGACCACAGAGCTGAATTCTTCTGAGTTCATTATAATGTCCCTGACCAGTGAGTGACTGCTGAATACCTAAAGATTTGCAGCATTTGTAGGTCAAAAAAGATCCATAGGTGAAGAGACAAGCTTGTCTCTTCATCTTAGCCATTCTGACTGAGGTCAGATGAAATTTCACTGTATTAACCTGATATAGAGTTATCTAGAACACAAGCCTCCAGCCACACTTGTGACCAGTGTCTTTCTTCCACAAGTTCCCATCGCCATGACTCTCTGCATAGTGACCCTTGAACTGTGATTCAGAATGAACCCTTCATTTCTCATGGTGTTTTTGTCAAAATGACTTATCAAAACAACAGAAAAAAAATGACAGATGATACTTGAGTCTAAAAATCCTTACTCTTTGTAGATACCTAGCATGTTTGTTTTCCTCATACCATACTTGTGTATGTAGAAACCAACATAATTTTCAATGAAATTCCATGTGAAAAGATGGATTAATTTTGTTTTGTTTGCTCCCTAATTAAAATTAAAATTTAAAAAATTGCATCAATTGATAAATGATCTTCTTTAATTTTTAATGTCTGTTGGTGTGATAAAACATTGGCCCAAAACAACTTGGGAAGGAAAGGGTTTATTTTAGCTTATAATTTATAATCCAACATGAAGGAAAATCAGGACAGGAACTCAAGGCAGGAGTCCGGAGGCGTGAACTGAAATAGAAACCATGAAGGGACTCTCCTTACCTACTTCCCTGCCATGGCTTTCTCAACCTCTTTTCTTACACAATTCATGACCTCCTGTACAGGACCAGCATCACCTTCAGCAGGCTGGACCCTATCACATCTATCATTATTAAGAAAATGTCTCAAAGACTTGCCTACAGGACAGTATGATGGAGGCATTCTCTTAATTAAGGTTCTCTCTTCCCAGACCACCCTAGCTTGTGTCAAATTGACAAAAAAGCTAATCTACATACTTAAACTTTTTGTGTGGTATTTACTATAATTTATTTAAGTGAAATGTATTATCTCTACTGAGAAGTATATATATTCTCTCCACTAAGTCTCTCGGGGTCCATCTCATCTGGTTTAGATGGAACTGATATTTATTTCAACTTTTATTTAATAAAAGCTGTATTTCATTTGTTTGCATTTTTAAAAGATCCATAGGTTAAAAGTTTCACAATGGAATTCTAAGGAGGAATGCCAGTTCCTTCCCAGACTGCTGTACCTTGTATAAAAATTCTATAATCAATAGAGTTTTGTTTCTAAGAAAGAAAATAAAAGGTGGCTAGGAGGGAAAGTGCAAGAAAAGAAGAAAGATAATTCTGAGGGGAAAAAGTGAGAATTTATGAAACACTGTTCTGCAGCTGTCTTGTCAACAACCCTTTGTAAGAGGGATTTTAGGTGTTAATCAGAACCAATACTACTTTCTTCCTTGTTTCATTGCCTTTTTAAAATATATATCCTTTTAAAATTTCTTCTATTGATAGAAACAGAGCAGAAACAAATGGAGAACAAAGCCTATTTATGGCTGCTGGATGAGCATGCCTGTCTGAGAAACCTGCACAAGCTTTCTGTGAGATTGGAACAGGGCCAGCTCAGTTCACAGGCAGCTCCTGCACCCTTACCGTGGGGCCAGTTACTGTGTGGAAAATAAGATAGATTTTCCCAGCCAACACTAGACACCCAGACCTTGTATCTCTTCAGTCTCTGTTGTGCACTCCTCCCCAAGGAGCATTTCAACTGTGTCCACATCATGCCATCACAGTGGCAGTCAAGCTGAGTCCAGCTGTGCCTACTTAATTCATGGTGTACTCCATGCAGGAGATAAACAAGACATTATTACATTTTCTGTTTGCAGATGGGAAACAAGATGTACCCAAATTACTTGCACAATGTTGCACAGCTAATTTGCCTTTTGTTTTTCAACTACACATTGGATCATTAACTCTTGCTTCATAGTTAT